CCCCCCCCCCCAAAAAAAAAAAAAAAAAAAAATTAGGGGGGTTGGGGGTGGGGTAGTGAAATTTAACCCAGTTTTTGGGTATGCACACACATTGACACAGAAGACACATACAAACAAGCACACAATAAACACACATGCAAGCAGAGAGGGTGAGAGAGAGAGAGAGAGAGAGGGATGGATGAAGTGATGAACCTTAGCAACTCCTTTTGGTGGATATTCTCCTTTTAATCTCGGATCCACACACTGTTTAACTTTATCCTCACTCAACCTGGGAGTAGCCTACAAAAAGTAAGAAGAAAGAATAAACCATCATCCTTCATAATTTTCCTTCAGTTACTTCAGTTAATGATCGAGACTACTACTATTAGCAGAAGCTACAATAACCTAAGATGTGAGATATTCGAAGAAAGCTAAAAATAAGACAAGAGAGTACAACAACAACAACAAAATCTGTATCCCAAATTTTTGGGTAGAAAGCTGACAAGAGTACACCAACAACAACAAAATCTGTATCCCAAAATTTTGGGTTCACTTTATGAATCCCAATTCTTCTATTCAGTCAGTCTTAACTTTAAGCTTGCTATGCTAGCATTTAAATAGAAAAACAGAGACCTGGGCTTTTGTGGTTGAATCTTTCAATGTCTTAGAAAGAGATAAAACTGTTTATAACATACCAAAATTAATACACCACAAGTTTCTAGAACTAAGATGATCCCTGGTGTCTCTTTCTCGACTCTCCAAAATGGGTCAAAAACATAAAAACCAGCCCCACTATAGCAGGAACCACTTGCATTGGATTACCATGTTTTAGTGTATCTTTTTTTTATCGTGACGGTGATTTAACTTTTGTGTTGTCCTCCAAGATTTATTCATTACATTTAGTATTATCTGTCTTTCCAATTATGGAAATTTTACTTAATGCTAAAAAAACATGTTAACCGCCAAAAATAATGCTTAAAATACCAATGGTACCACTAAATATGTTATGGCGTACCTAGCATTTATAATTCAGGCACTGTACTAACAGTGTCATTGTCAAATATGCCAAATCAACATAAATAATAAAAATCGAATTATGGCAATCGGTTCTTCTTGCTAAACTCCAATAGCTTATGTTCAAGAGTAGAATACCACCAAAGCTTAAGAGTTTATCCTCCAAAGCACTGACTATTTTGTAGTGATAAAGCCAGCAACCAGAAAACCTTCTTCTATAAGTTCCACACTAGTATAGAGGATGATTGAGCAAAACAAAACTGAACAACCATAAAATGGAACCATGTCGAGAAGAGATGATTAACTTAGCACTTAGCAGGGTCATAGCCATTAGAATTAAATAAAGAAAAAAAGAATAATGCTTTTCTATTGAAGCAGTACATAAAATTGGATGAGAATGAATATTAACCAACAGTTAATTGAGACTAAACTAACCCAAGTAACGAGACTCTGTTGGCCTCTAGGCATGGTATGATCAACTGGTTTTCTGCCCGTTAGGAGCTCCAAAAGCACAACCCCAAAGCTATATACGTCACTTTTTTGGGTTAGCTGACCAGTCATAGCATATCTGCGCAACATCAACACAACAAAGCTATTAATGCCACCATAGATGTAATACTAATTTGAATTTTTTAATGCAAGAAAACACCTATATATATGGCATGCAGGAAATCATGACATGTGCTTCCAGTATAAAATGAGTTAAGTAGTTATCTAAACTAGAATGGAGAGCAATAATAATTATGGGGAAAGAAAAGGAAGACAGAGCATGATTTTAAAACATAAGCTGGTAGGAAGCAGCTAGTGGCACTACTAGTTGCAAGAAAATTAATATTAAGTAGGCAGCAATAGGATTATTGAAGCAGCTGTTTCTTGTTGGTAGAGGCATTAGCAGCTCGCAAAAGTCATTAATGATGTAAACAGATATAAATAGTCTGCTCCAAACTTGATATCATTCATATGGATGTTATCCATATTCACTGAATTAAAATATGGATATGGATGTCAATGGTGCTCAATCATCAGGGATATAATATCAATAGCTTCCTAACATCTAAAATTCTGAATACACATCAGAGATTCAGAGTCTACAAGAACATGCATTGCTTCATACACTTTTTTTGCTATATCTTAAAAAAGTAAAGGTTAAACTTAGCTTCCAAGATTCATTCTGATTTTCAAAAAATATCTGGTACATATCCAGATGAAGAATTTTTCAAAACAGACCCACTTTAACTTTTTTTTCTTAAAACCGACCCGTTTTTTTTTTATTTATCAAAACCGACCCGATTTTGTAATTAGCAGATTAATCACATTCCTAAACAGTCGGGGTTGGCAACCCCGACTATTTAGGACATTAATTTTTAGGGTTTAAGGCTTCTAATTAGGGTTTAACACCTTCCTAAATAGTCGGGGTTGCCAACCCCGACTGTTTAGGATGGTGATTAAGCTGTTAATTACAAAATCGGGTCGGTTTTGATAAATAAAAAAAAACGGGTCGGTTTTAAGAAAAAAAAGTTGAAGCGGGTCTGTTTTGAAAAATTCTTCTATCCAGATCTTATCCAAGTCATGGTTCTTCTTTTGCAAATATAAGAATTGTTTTTCTTTCAAAAATTTGACTGAATATCTGTATGCATATTCCAAAGCAGCAAAACAAAATAATAATATAACATTAAGACCCTTTCTGTATCACTTCATAACATCTTAAGAGGTCACAGGGTCCATAAGGCAGGCTCGTCCCATTTGCATCATGACCCAGACCCAACATGGCCCAAGAATTGTGGGCTTAAAAACTCAGTCCGCCCTGGCTAGAACAGACTTAGAAACCCTCTAAACTAAGTCCCATCTGATCTAATTTGGACTGGGCAGATTAACCCAAATCTACGAAGGACAGGAGTAACTTGTTAAGCAGTGGCTGCCAAAATGAAAATGCCTGAAAATTAACATCCAATGGAAGGCTTACCTAGCCATGACGCAAACCCAGACAATACCGGAAGATGAATCTTGATTTGAATGGAGCAAAGGTCAAAATTTGAATCTGATGCCAGTTGGGTTACAGATACATATATATTGAGAACTGGAACCTGACCCACCTTTCTACAATCACTATGTGCAAACTGGACCAACCCACATCCTAATTGCACATTCAAGTCGTGTAAAAACTTAGCTGTTCCAATTCCCAACTTAATACTCTTATATCCCTCGCTTCTAAGTTTATGATCCCTCAATGGAAAAAAGAAATCATGGCTTATATTAAAAAAAATTATCTTAAAGACTAGCATAAGAAAGACAATTTCTTTTGATAAGAAAAAAAAATCAATCTTTTAGCTACTATGATAAGATTCATAAGACTAATATTGATACACAGAAATAGCACACAGTTTTAATTATCATGCTGTGCAATTAAATAGCCATATCATTTCACTTCTTTTAGAGATTACCAACATTGAGGCAGAAGTAAAATATGTCAATCGCCATAAGCATGTATCCACTTATAGATGCAGAAGATTTAAGTTATCGTGTGATTACTCAGGTGCATGATATCCAAAAGTTCCGAGGACACGAGTTGAATGAAGACGAGCAGCCATATCAGGAGCCTGATTTGAGAGATTAAAATCTGCAATTTTTGCTTTGAAACCTTCAAATAAAAGAATATTGCTTGATCTGATATCCCGATGTATTACAGAAGGCTGAACCTTCTCATGAAGGTACTCTAGACCCCTTGCTGCATCAATAGCGATCCTCACACGCTGCATCCAGTCAAGCACGGGACCCGGTTGGGCACCTTGAACCCCTTTCCTACCTGGATTTGAAAAAGATAAATTATATTTGATGCTTGCACACATAACATCAACCCTGACATGAATAATTCAATACAGTTTGCAAGCTGATTATCATACCATGCAAAACATCATGAAGTGAACCCATAGTAGCAAATTCATAGGACAACAAACGGAAATTTCCTTCGGCGCAATATCCCAGTAGTTGAACAAAGTTGTCATGTTTCAATTTAGATACAGTTTCGACCTGATAGCATAAAAATACTTAAGTTTAACTGTCATAGGCTAAAGAAAGAAGAGGTTGGGGGGGGGGGGGGGTTGTTGGTAAAGAAAGAGAAGCTGTACTGAAATCATTACACAAACCTGGGTCAGAAACTCTTCTTGACTTGAGTCTGACTCTGCTGAAACATCAAGTTTTTTTATTGCAACTTGCTGCCCACTGCTCAAAACTGCATGATATACTCTTCCATAAGACCCTTCTCCAATCAAAGAGTTTGATCCAAAGTTGTCAGTCTTCTCTTTTAGTTCTTCTAAAGATAATTTAGGTACTTCAATATTTATGGTCTTCTTTGGTTCATCTTTGGCTTCACCAGCAGGTTTTGAACCCTTTTGCATTCCTGAAAGTCATTTCAAAAGAATTCATAAGAACAATACAAAAGAGATGAGGCGCATCTACGCAATGCATTATGCTCAGGGGTGACACCAAACTTTCTACATTCAGCAAAAAATTTAAAGTAAATCGATGAAGAAAATGCAAGAGGAACAATATCTGAAATTAGAAAAGGATGAAAAGATGGCTCCATTTTTCTTCTATAAAAACCAATCTTTTTCTAGATCACATTTCATTTAAATTCGGTACAATTCCTGTTTCAAGATCTATTTTGTGCAAATAGACAACAGATAGAGCCTAGAGTTAAGACTCAAATTTGAGCCGACCTGCAGAAGGGTCACCTGACTTCTGCAGACATAGGACCCATCACTTTCAGTAGGGTATTCCTTCCAACACAATATGTATTGTAAACAATGTTTAGTTGTAATAATATCCTAAACAACTTTTTTTTTTTTTAAAAGGGACACTAAACGACAAAAGCTTTTCACAAACCTAAAGCATCACACACTTAGCACTCTGCAGGTGATATCTTATCCACTCGAGAGAAATGACATTACGAGTTCTAATATTCTAATATTCTAAATAAGCACAGGGTGAACAAGGGTGCAATAAATGTTACTAAGCTGAACCTTTAGCGACAAAATCTAGTAACTAATGAGATGGAATATTTGTTGATACCTCCTTGATAAAGCTCATATATAAAGAATAATATAAGAAATACAAAGATTAGACCTTCTATGACAAACTAAGGATAGCAGAAACTGTATCATGTTATTCAGAAGATCATTTTTATATTCAACAAAAATGACCACACCGCTTAGTTGTTGGCACAAACTGTATCATGTTATTTTTCCAAATTCCATCTAGAGAATCTCAGAGACTTCTGAACCTCCAATTTCTCATATTTTTTAAGGTTTCTTTTTTATCTTTTGCTTGCTACATATTTTTTCTGGTTTCTCATTTAGCTACATCTATTCATTTGGGTTTCTATTTAACACAAACTAATGGTAGTACTCTGGTTATAATGATTGATGTGGCTCCTCTATTTCTTTTTGTCAAATAAAATGTTGTAAGCTTTTTCCACAAAGAGGGATAACATATGCATGATGTCTTAACAGTTATTGACCTTTACAAGATGAATTTAAAAATAGTTATTTATAATGAATCTGTAATATCTGAAACAATATGGGTTGAGTCAAGATTTCTGATTTTAGTTCAGACCCTGAGTCATAATTCTGGCACGTACCTGTATCCATTAAAATAATGACTCTGACCGACATGAGTCAGGCCCAAGCCTAACCAACTGCCACACTATTGACTACTAAGCGAAGTATAGTATTGAAGAATAATGAGCTAGTTCAGAAGGAAAATAAATAGGGGGGACCAAGTACAGACAGGAAAGAAATTACTACAATGATGGAACATGGGCCAGTCATTGCATTAGAGATTATTGAGGCAGGAAGGAGATGATCATGACGCAGTGAGGCAGGAGAAAAAATATTGAAAGGCAAGAAACAAGCTGGATATGAAAAATAATGCACTTGCAAAAACAAAGCACGAGTAGTATACTCCGGAAATTCCTTTACAAACATGTTTTCATAGGTAAATAAATCAAAACAAGGGTCATTAGGGAGCAGATACGAACACATGCTGCATATACTGAATTTACCATGAATATGTAGTTCCTGTACGTACATGTTTCAGACATGCTCTGTCATTCATTAAGTAAAAAAATAAAAATAAAATCACAGTACCAGCCAGAAAAGTGACGACTAAAGGCATTAAACACCTATAAGATTCCACATAATATAACTTGTTTCAGGATTGATGTTTGAATTCATTATACTATGTACCGTTTATATCATATTTATAATAAAAACCTTGTCACACAACGATTCAACAATATGATTACATTGAACATGACTTGGACACCGATGTAATCATGGAAATTTACGTTAAACATGGCCTAGAAAATTTTAAGCAAACAAAGTAAGAATGTAAATCATACAACCTATCAAGGAATTATTGGTAGCAAGAATGTGAATATCCTAAATAAACTGTCTAATACACATGTGAACCAGTAAAAACATAAAAGTTTTCAAACCTAATATAATAGTTGAACTTTAGCATGCAATGTACAAAAGTAAAAGAAACATGAAAAGACGTATAGACTTTCATTTGTCAGCTATTCTACTTTAACGACATCAATTAATAATAATAATAATAATAATAATAATAATAATAATAATAATAATAAATAAAACGTCCATTAATAATAAAATTTGGAGATAAAAATTGAGCTCTACAAATGAAAAGTCCTATCAACTAAAAAACATCAGATCCAGGACATATTACCACATAATCTTATATTGACATGCTAATAAAGAAATAAGGAAGGCAACATATCAGTCATAACTTACAATATTAGCATAACATATAGAATAACTTTCCTATTTATAAATTCTAGGAAGAATAACTCTACTATCTCTAATCAAATTAGAGAACTGAAATATTAGAGACCATTAAAAGAAGAACATTTGCCTCAATTTGAAAACTGGTGGAAAGCCCTAGCTTGAATCCTTCACCTCTCCAGGCGACTGATCTCCTATTTCTTTTTTTTCCTTTTTTTTCCTTTCTTTTTTTCGTTTATTTTCTTTTCCGAAGAGGTAGTTGGATGGCAGAGAGAAAAGTATAGGATTTAAAGAGTGAAAGTTTGTTAGCTAGAGATTAGGTTGTTGGGTTTTGCCAAAGCCTCAGGAGTTGTTTGTTGTGATTGCTTTAGTGCCAAGAAAAATTGCAGAATTTCTTGTAAATCCACAACGTGAGAAAGAAGAAAGAAAGAAAGAATAGATGAGGTAGTTAACATATTTTCTAGGATAAAGATTATATAAATAAATGGGTCTTATTGGGTTAATCTAATTTGGGCTTTTAATAAAGATAGTGTAATTTTAGTCAAAATCATTTTCTCTAGTGGGCCTCTAATAAATTTCATGACCTTTTTAGTTGGACTATTTATTAAAATCTAATGGTCTAAAGAAAACAATCTATTTCTAAGAAACATGTATGCTGCTGAATTTGTCAAACTCAACATATTTGCCCCAGCTATGGTAACCTATGAGGATAAAAGACGGAGAATATATTGAATTTTGACTTGTGAAATGTCTGTGCTCTATCCTGCTATTGGTACTGAACCTGAGAAGCTTCCCCTGATGTTGCGATCTCCTCTGTTGTCCTCCAAATCTATTCCGCCTACAAAACTATCACTCATGCTCTAACTCCTACTAGTTTGTCCTACATGGCCAAGTTTACAATTGATGATCAGACGCTCTATATAAGAAGTAGAGATCATTGGCCTTCCTACAATCCGTCTTTATGTGCTCGGGCTTGCCACAAAAATAACACACCTTGTCTTGATAAGGCAATGTTGGCTGGGTTGGTGCTATGATCTGCTAGTGTTTACCTGGAACACTCCATTACTCTTGCGAACAGTATCAGAACATTGCCCTGCTAGGCATTTGTGATCCTTACTTAATGCTATGCTTATAATACCAAGAAGCTGCTTGGCACTGCAAGCCGCCTCCAAAACATCACCATAAGTCTCAACCCTTTCTGACTGTAAATCTGCCTCGCGATTTCAAAATTGAGACCCTGCATAAATCTTCGTCCTTTGTCCCCTCATTGGCTACCATGGCTGGGGCAAACCTGCTGAGTTTAGAAAATTCAATAGAATATTCCTCGTGCTACCTCTCTGCCTGAGACCCACGAATTGTCTCCCTATTTCTATAGAAGTCCTCTTGGAGAAAAACCTCTGCAGAAAACTCTCCTGTAATGTTTTCGATATAACTGGCCTACGAAGCGTCTCCTCCTTCACGTCTTACCAAGTCTTGGCTACATCCATGTAGTAGAAATGGTTTCAGATTTATTTATGTACAGACCTTATGTGTTTTATATATCCATGTCACAAACTTGCACTAGCACATTTCCTTCATCTTACACGCTTGTCAGGAGTTCTCTGACTTCCTAGGGTTTAGGTTTGTATACCCCAGACCTATTGCTCATTCTTTCTCAACAATATCGAGAGTACTTCCAGGAGCAAACTCAGAGGTAATGATCACAAACTTCCTCGACAGATTTCATCGCTCTTTCTCCAAATTAGGTTATTCATGCTAGATATTTTTTCATCCCCATGTGGCTCTTTGTTTGAGACATTAGGATGCATCTTATATCATTCCATCTTGGATAGTTGATACCCAAGTCATTTTCTTTATGGAAATGTACGACATTTACTAATGACTCTATTCCCTCTTAGTTACATACTCTATAGTACATTTTTTGTATATATATATAGATACACACACATATACACACACATTTATATATATGAATGTATGTATGTATATGTAATGTGTGTATGTCTATATATATATATATATATATATATATATATATATATACATATATATGTATATATATATATATAAATGTATGTATGTGTGTATGTATGTATAGATATATATACATACATACATATATAATACACACACACATGTGTGTGTGTGTTTGTGTGTGTACACACACACATTTATATGTATGTATGTATGTATGTATGTATATGTACAAGATGATCTGGAGATGTGAATGTAGTCATGCAAAAAAAAAAAAACTTTGGTTGCTTCATCAGCCGAGTCATGCCCGGTATAATCATATTTTTGAACTGAGGTTTGACAAGGTTTTCATATTATCATACATAAAGATCATAATTATTAAACATTTAGGCGCAAAACTTATTGGGCTATGAACATAAAACTTCCAATTAGCTGACATCGATGACCAAAAGCCGACATTTCATAGTAATATCCAACATATATATTGGATATGGGCACATGTCAATGTTGTGAAACAATGACCATCGACATTGCATGAAAACACAGACAGCCAACTTCTATAAGAGAAAAGGCATGCATAAGTTCCCATTATTGCAGGCTACTGGAAGGGTCAGTAGAAAAATTAATCCTTGCATTTTTTGGCAAGGCCATTTCTATGATACACACCAGTGACCTCCATGTTGTCACAATCGCATGACTTATCACTTCCCAAGGCTAACATAGTAAGATCATCAAACCATGAACTCTTTCGTAGGTGGTTTAGAATAATGAGTTAATAGCACAGAATGATGGAGAACATATAGGGTTGGAAAAAGAATCTCTATCAGGAATACTACAGAAATTTATGTGGTGTTTTGTTATGTATATGGAAAATGATTTCCTCAAACTATATCATGATAAATGTCACTGGAAGTTATATAAAACACTTGTAATATCTCTTTTGACTTTTCCCTCTCATAGGCCTAGTTTAGCGAGATAGTTTTTGAAACCACAATTCATTTAAGTTAAAATAAGACCGTGATTTGTTTGTGAAGTCTCTGCCACTACACCAAAACTCTGAAGTTGTGGTGATGGTTGAGTGTTACCATTTTATATTACAACGTGACGATATAACTTTCTTAAAATCCCCTTTAAATTTGTGGCCAATTAGAACTGAATATAGGTTACACTAATACCATGTTAAAGTCCCTACCATTAGACCAAAACTCACAAGTTGTGTGAAGGTTATAATTTTATATCTAACAAATACAAATAGTGTCAGAAAATATGGCTTCAAAAACTTTAATAAGTATGTACAAAAAAAATCATAGTCTCCAAAATTTGCTCACGGTTTCTCAAATCATGGATTCATTACATTTTGAGGCTCCCAAACCACAGTCGGGAAGCCCTAATTAGATATAAAACAATGCAATTTCTTGATATTTTTGGTTTAGCTTCAAACCACATGAAAGTTGAAACCATGACAAAGTTACACTTCCTATTACTTGTCTACGCTAATTGCAAACTCATATCTTGATGACAATTTCCATGGTCATAAATATCGCATTTACTCATGTCCCATTGGCAAATAATTGTAAATCCATGTCAAAATTTGAAGTGCTCTAAGCATCAAAGTTTGGAAGTAGATATATAAACTTTATTATACTAATGCTGATAGTGTGGCTATATTCAATCTTTCAGTAAAAAAATAAATAATCATTGAAACAAGTTGAATTATTCATTTCTCAAAAACATCATATCGTGAGGATGACATAATGGTAAATGCACAAGATGAATCTTCACCCGGCATCAATTTGCGTACATCTAGATTTTAACCACATCCGAACCCAAATTCAAATGCAACTGTGGATCTAGATCCATGCAACTTCAGATCCTTAAACTAAGCCGGATAAGTCGATACCCGTACAGAAAGGCCTAGAAACAGAGAAAGAGAAATATGTACATGCATGCATATTTGTATGAATACAAGAACATCCCATCACGACGTCCAGAGATCATAAAGATATCATAAAATGCCAAGCTAATCGATGAGAAAACAACATTAGAAACTCCACAGAACTGTAAATCATTGGAGTTTTGAAAAAAATTTAAATATGTTCCACCTAGTTACCATTAGATTCCTTCAGAAGTCATGCCGATATTTCAGAACATATGAGTTAACGAGTCATCATAGTAGAAAGTTCCGAATACACAGAACTAAAGATACATACCATCTAAATAATTGCCTGGCCTTTTAAAGGCTTGATTCTCATCAGCATGATGATGCTCATTGATACTAGAAGCACAACATAGCCAACGCCGCATCTTTCTCGTCTCTTTTTATCTCTTATATACAGTTAAAACACCTATCCATCCAGAAGACACCCATCAATAACCAGCAACAGAACCATAAGAATCAAATTAAAAGATTTTCGGACGAAACATTAAGTTTAAGGCGTATAAGAATTTTGTTAACTTCTCAAAGTAGTTTGCTTTTGCCAAATAAATATTTTCATTGATGAAGACCAAATAGTGAATTATTCGGAGCCATTAACATTTCAAAATAAAAAAACGAGTGAAATACATCTCTTTTCAACTACAGACAGAACTAAGCATAGACCCCTACGTACATTTATAACTAAACCAAAGATACTTCCACTAAACTTAATAACAAAAGAGCTAAACAATACTCAAGCAACGGTGATCAAATGACAGTTAATTCCCAAAATTGAATAATTCACTAGAAACAAGAACAAAACAGCAACTTTTACACAAACTAACAAAAGAACCATCAGAAATCATCCAATAAAAATCAACGAATCTTACAAAGGAAGGAAAGAAGAAGCAAAGCTGAGATCAGATCCAACATAGGATTTCAAAAGCTAACGCACCTACTATTTATTTATTCTTTAAAAAAGAAGCGATTTTGGTGGAGCGGAGATATCGGGAGCGAACCGAATCAATCCGAGTTCAGTTTGAATCAACGGATCGGAAGCTAACGTTCAAATTAAATTTTAAAAAAAAGCCAAGGAAAGCGAGAGAGGACTTTTTTTTTTCGGGTGCGATCGCGCGATTCGAGAGATTACCTTTGGCTGAGGTATGCTGCTCCTCTACTTCTTCTTCTAACCTCTAGGGTTAGGGTTAGGGTTAGAGAATTTGAGAGGAGAGAGAAAGAAGGCTCAGAAATGTCGCCGTTTATTAGGGGGAGGAGAGAGAGAGAGAGAGAGCGAGAGCGAGCAGGAGGCGGTGAGAGAATCCGAATAAAAATGTTAGTTGGAGCCTTCGGGGAGAAGCTTACCCCAAGTTTACCTTTTTTTTTATAATTTATAATTTGATGTCTTAAAGTATTTTTAAAATATTTTTATTTTCTGGAGCTTCAGTCTCATTTTACTTTTGATATCTATGTTCAGATTATATTAGATTTTCTGTAAAATTTATGTAATGTCCTTAGAACCTGATACATAGGCTCATTTTATAGACAAGCTATCCAAGTAAAATGAGATTGAAACCAAGTGTTAAAAGAATACTTTAGAGTGTCAAACTGGAACTGAATTGAAATTTTAGAACATAAAAGTATTAAAATATACTTATAGATATCAAAATGAGAATATTGGTAAATTTTAAGGTATTAAAGTTAAATTATGCCCTCGTAGAATGACAAAAAAACGCACTTTTATGCAGCTTGCCCCTTCTTTTATATCTTCTTCTCTGTACACATTATATCATGTGCATATGTCACCCTCTATTTTCTTTATTATCATTCTTCTTCTATTTAGGATTTCATCGCTTGGTTATTGAGAATATAAAATAGGATTATATCATTCGGAATTGTTTCTCATTAGCATTTTAATTTTTTTCCTTTCTATTTGATAGAAATATTTTGTATCTTAAGAGTGGTATTTGACTATGTTTTAGATGATAGATTCTCGATAAATCTATTTAAAATATTCAGCACTCTTGTCTATGCGACAAAAACTAAGATGCAATAAGATTTTATTTTAATGGTCTTCTCTATGTTTTTCCTCTTTTGTTTACTTGTTGGCATACTCTATCTAAACTTTTAAAAAAGGTTATATATACTAATGAGTGTGATGATATGATCATACTTTAGCATAATATTTGATCTTTTTAATAAAAAAATATTTATTACATTTGAATTTCAAATAAACTCTGAAAACATGTTTTGGAGGTTTTTTTTTTCAGAAATGGTGTTTTGAACTTTTGTACTATATAGTAAAAGATACTCAAATTCAACCAAATTATGAGTACCTTTCATTTGAGGTTTCTATACATAAAATTAAAGAACGAGGGTGTAATTTGATAATATATGATCAAAAGTCAGACTCAACTAAAAAGACTAGGGTATTAGCTGGAATTCCTTATGTACGCGTCAAACACAAGAACTTTATTCAATATGTTTTATTTATACACAAATCTCTCGCAACATATAGAATTTTGTTCTCTCTCTAAATAATGAGATAAGAGGAAAAATATAATAACAACAAGAGAGCATTATCTAATGTGAGTGACCATAAATACAACTATATAAGCTTGTTACAAAAGTTTATTAGTACAAGTGATTTATGTCCACGAAAGTATGAATGTATGATACCTTTGCAAGATGTACATAATTTTTTTGGATGTATTTTTATATGAATATATTGGTTAGCATTAAAGGACTTTGATGTGTGTAGAAATTATTAGTTTTATTTCAATGCCAAAAAGATACCTTTTAGATAAAAGTTGTCAAAAAGATATTGATGGGTGTCTCATTTTGGTTATATACATTGTCAAATTATAATCTATATCTAGATCTATATCTATATATTATTATAATGAATAAAATTAGTGAATTACTTTTAAAAGCATAAAGACATGGAGCGGCTGAGTAAGTCACATGACGCCATAAAAAAACATATAGACATGTCATGTGTTAAAAACTGTCACGTGTACATCAATCCTATCAGAAAGAATCATTATCAAGTTAAAATTATTTGTTAATTGTCCCCTTCAAAATCTAAAAACTACAACAACCCCTTGAAAATCTAAAATTTACTAACAAAACTTTGAGATCCAAACACTATGAACAACCTGAAAATCTTAACATCCGAATAGGCCCATGAAAAATCAAAAAATTACAAACAAGCTATTACGATTGAAACATTATAAATTATAAATAAACATTAAAATCCAACAATTAAAAATAGCACCGTAAAATTCAAAAAATTATATTCTGCCACCTTAACATCCAAAAATTATAAGAAATACCTAAAATATCCATAGTTACAAACAGTCTTCTAAAAAGGTAAAAAGTTATAAATAGTCCCCCTAAAATTTTGCAAACAATCCTCCCTAAAAGTTTTATAACCAGCGCCTTGAAAGTTTTTGAAAGTACAAATGTCCTCTTTAAAAAATTTACAAATAATCCTTTAAAATTTTTATAGCTAACCCTATGATAGCTGCTAAAATAATAAACATCCAACTTAAAATTTTAAATATTATAAACAACTCCATAAAAAAATTAAAAAAAAAACGTCTAATGTTTCAGAAATTACAAATAATGCTAAAATTTTAAAAATTACAAACTATCCCATGAAGTTACAAAAAACCTTAAGATTCAACAACTACAAATAAACTTCTGAATAATCCAAAAATTACAAGCAACATATAAAATTCATAAAATTATAATTCTCCCCTTAAAATTAAAAATTTACTAACAATCCCTAGTAAATCTAAAAATTACAAACAATCTTCTAAAAAGGTTAAAAATACAAATATCCCCTTAAAGTTTTATAAAGAACCCCCTAAAAGTTTTACAACCAATCCCTTAAAAGTTTTAAAATTTACTATATCCCCTTGAAAAATTTACAAGCTGCCTTTTGAAAATTCTACAGCTAGCCCATGAAAATTATGAAAATAAAAATGTCATGCTAAAAATTTCAAAATATTACAAACAACTCCATAAAAATTATAAAAAACCCCCATGAAAATTTCAAAAATTAAAATACCCCCGAAGAATCACTAAAAAACCCCCTGAAAGGTTTAAACATTACAAATAATCCTACTAAAATTTTACAAAACCCCCTGAAACCTCTACAACCATTCCTTCAAATTTAAAAAAATTATAAACAACCCTCAAAAGTTTAGAAAACTATAAGCAACCCCTTAACAATTTCAAAGACTACAAAGGGCTCCTTGAAAGTATTAAACAAAAATTACCACAAAAAGAGATTACCTTTGTCTGAGGTATGCTACTCCTCTACTACTTCTTCTAACCTCTAGGGTTAGGGTTAGAGAATTTAAGAGGAGAGAGAAAGAAAGTTTAGAAATGTTGTCGTTTACTAGAGGTAAGAGAGAAAGAGAGAGAAAGCAGGAGGGCAGTGAGAGAATCCAAATAAAAATGTTTGTTCCAGCCTTCGATCACTTTGGCACCCGAAATTTACCTTTATTTTAATTTAATGTCTTTAAGTATTTTTAAAATGTTTTTATTTTCTAAAGTTTCAATCTCATTTTACTTTTGATATCTATGTTTCGACTCGATTAGATTTTCTGTAAAATTTGTGTATTGTCCGTATAATGTGATACATTTAGGCCCATTTTATTAAGTTATTAAGCATCAAGATAAATTTAACAGAAAATCTCTCACATTCTAGATAAGTTATCCAAGTGAAATGAGATTGAAACTAAGTGTTAAAAGAATAATATAGAATGTCAAACTAGAATAGAATTGAAACTTTAGAACATATAAGTATTAAAATAAAATTTTAGGGGTTTGTACATCAAAACCGCCTAAACGTTTGCTCAAATTTATGGTTACCACCTAAGTTTTTTCTACGAAAACCACTATAATTGCTTATATGCTTTCAATGTTACACCTATCTTATTTTCAGCCAAAAAACTATGTGACCTGACCAAAATAGCCTCAACCCCTCGTGTGTAAAACAAATGCACCCCCCCCCTAACTCACCCCATCTAACCCCTAGTAAGAGAAGTCACATAAATCTCACATTCCTTCTCTTCATCCTCTTCCCGACGTAAACCCAAATTGATCTCTGACATTAAACCCCATCTCCTCTTCTGGATCTTGTTCCCTAAACCCCCTCTCAGCTTCTTCTTCTTCCGTAAAGCCCATAACATCAATGGCTACTAAATATTCAGCAGGTTCTTCATATTCAAATGGAAGATCCATGGATGTTTTGTGCAAATGTAAACTAAGGGCTTCAATGCTAACTTCGAAGACTGAAGCTAACCCAGAGAGAATGTTTTTCAGTTGTTATTCTCAAGTCCTTCAATTTGTGATAAAAGATGTAATTTTTTTTATATATGATGGTGAGATTGTTAGGAGGCAAGGGAAATGATGAATATGCTAATTGCTGAGAAGAAGAAATTAAAGGAAGAGCTTCTAGAAATGAGCAAGAAGATGGAGAATATTGAAGATGATTTGAAGGAGCTTGCAAATGAAAATAATCAATTAAAAATTAAGAATCTTTCAATGAAGAAGGAGACGCAAGAGATTAGTAGGAGAAATCCTAAATATTTTTTGGCATCTATTGTAATTGTTGTAATTGTGTTGCTTATGTTTGTGATAGGTGATAAAGATTAGAATGTAATTGTGTATTGTAAAATGCAACTTTGTATAAAGAAAACTTTTGATGTTGTTTGTATTTACTTATGTTTGTAATTGTCTTTGAAGTTTTTTGTCACAATTTAATGTATTTATGCATGTTAGAGGTAGAAACATATACACAACAAATGATCACAGATTTGTATTTCATCATTACCACCTAAACTTTTATATATTTTATGGTTACCATCTAACAAAACACAACGTGGTATGCATACCACCTTACCTTTATAAACTTTTGACATAAACCACCTGGAATGTTAAGAAATTCTAAATTGCCACCGAAGTTTTGAAATATGTATCAAGCATAATCACACATGAGACATTAGCTACAAAAAATAAAACTCAATTGACAAACCTGCCATAATGATTGTAATATATGCATCATTGTGTAGAATGTCATAATCATGCAGCATATATACAAACCACCTAAAATTTTAACTATTTGCATGGGTACCACCTTTACTATTAACAGTCAGTACACATACCACCTTTTAAGTTCAGGTATATCACAGATACCACCTATAGTTTACAAAACTTAAACATTTAAACATGCCACCATAAGTTTCCAAAATCATAGATATCCTAAAATTTTCAAGAAAAACAAGGAATCAAGGTTTCCATGCAGGCTTTGCTGTAGTTTTTTTCCCTTGTTGC